ACTTTCATCAACCCCGCCTAACCTGTTCCAGATCATCATCTCAAAGAAATCTTAGGAGCCTGTTGTTTCTCAAACATGTGATCTTACAATATGTGCCCTCAAACCTCACTGCCCTTCCCCAAGTCCCTCTTTGCTAGGCTCCTGTTCAGCACCTACATTCAGCAAAGGGCTCAGAGGATACTGCAAAGCACCACCTTCAACATAAGACTGCTGTGCACAGAAGGGCAGTTTTCTCATCATTTCTCATGTACTTCTGTTAATCTTCACTTATTCCCCTAGATAAAAAATTACTACCTCAATTTTACAAAAGCGGAAATCCAAGCTCCTGTCTGATGTAACCAAATACCTTAGATTGGGTAGGCTATAAGCCACAGAATATATTGCTTACAGTGCTCAGGGCTGGGAAGTTCTTGACCAGAGAGCTTTTTGCTGTGTATTGGACATCCTCACAGGGTAAGAGTATGAAATCTCCCCAGGTCTCTTTCACAGGGGTTCCATCCTCATGACTTTATCAACTCCCCCAAATTTCCTTTTCATACTACCTCATGGTAGACTAGGTTTCAACATCTAAATTTTCTTCTTCTTCTTTTTTTTTTTTCTTTTATCAGTACCGGGGATCGAACTCACGACCGCCTGCTTGCAAGGCAGGTGCTTATGCCGCTGAGCTAAATCCCCAGCCCCAACATCTAAATTTTCAAGGAACATCAAAATTCAGGCCATAGCAGATGAGATGGTGAGACAGTTGGATCAGCCCCACACTCTGAAATGTTCAGTATCTTTTTCTTCAGTTCCCTCACTCCTCACTGATGTCAGAGAGGTTCAGTGCAGCCCCTCCAAACATTTACTCTCCCTCCCCTTTACAGGTGATTAGACTCCCAGCAGATACCTAGGATCTGAAGTCTGGGGTCATCATTGGTATCATTTTCTATGTTCTCCACTGGATTCTAGGCATGTGGCACTTCCCTGTCCCTTTGTGATGACGGGTGGAGTGACCTGGTCAGTAAGAAGTAACTGACATTTGATAAATGGGCTTAGAGTACTTAATTGCCAGGTAGAGGCCTCTTTCCCTCTGCCATGCTACTAACAGTCTAAGATGGTGGCTCTTCCACTAGCCTGGGGCTTAAGAAGTGACATGGAGATCCCTGCCAACCCTGGGTGGATATTATGTTTGGACCTCAAATATCCCCTAAAAGGTTCAGGTGTTCAGAGATGTGACTCTGGAAGGTGATCGGGATCCTGTGAGCTCTGACCTCAATACTATGAATGAGTCATGGCTCAGTGAACTTCCTAGGAGGTGGGGCCCAATTGGATGAGACAGATCACTGGGGGTGTGGCTTTAAAGGTTAGATTTTGGCCCTGACTCCTTTTTTGCCCTCACCTCTCTGCTTCCTGTTTGCCATGAAGTGAGCATATTTCTTCTGCCATGTCCTTCTATCATGTGTCTGCTTTATCACAGGCCTAAAAGCAAGGGGGCTGCTAGCTGATCAACTGAAACAAAATAAATGAGGCAAAATAAATCTTTCCTCCTTTCTTATTCTCATACATTTTGTCAGTGACAGCTGACTAACACAGTAGACCTATTGTGTAGAAATAAGCTTTAAGAGTCAGTAAAATCTCAGGGTTATTTGCTACTAGCTACTAGCATGATGTAAGTTAGTACAAATCTCCAAAAAAGCAAAACCAACACACAGGTAAGAAATAGCGTATAGTATATTTTGTCTCCAGAGACCAAATCCCACACTGGCCATTCGTGGTATCTACACCCCACATGGACTGTTGGGCCTTTGTGGGAACTTGAATGGCACAGCTAGGGGAAAGTTGAGATTATCTACTCAAACTTTTCCCTGAACAAATATGGAAACTGGGGACTAAGGCCAGGGAGAATAGGGACTGACAGAGAATAGAACTCTCTTAAGCAGGGCTAGTGTCACTTGTGATACCTAGAACCACTGGGAAGGCTAAAGCCAGAAGAGAACACAGATTTGAGAGCAGATTCTCCATTTTGGGCTCGTCCATATCCTCTCCTGGAGGCAGATTTCCTGCAACTGCTGCCTGGGAAGGATTAGCAGGGATGGATGACCAGCCCAGCCCTTGGTGCTGCCCAATACACCATGGCTGAGCCTAGTTATGGCCAACCCGATATCCACATTCCCATTTTCTTAGTAACAGAAACTCCACAATCTGGCAATAGGCCAAAACCAAAATACCATATTTCCCAGATTCCTGTGCAGCCTCTAGGTTCCTATGTGACCATGTGATTAAATTCTTACTGCCTAAATTGAAGTCTACCTACAGCTTTTCAGTGGGTTCCTCTAGGGAAATCCATGATTCAGATGCAGAGGAGTAGGAGCCCAACCACCCTCCTTCTATTCTCAGCCAAGGCCTGGTTTTCTCTTTTGTCTGTGTGTCCTTGGACAAAAGGTCACACAGTGAATCTGTGGACTACTGTGACAACAGATAATTCACCTTATCCTCAGTGCCCAGCAGAGCCACCAGTGTGTATGAACTCTGACAGGTGTTCCTCCTATCAGAATTACCAGTGGGACAGATGCAGCTATGGTGACAAAAGCCCAGGTTGTGCTGCACCTTCCAGATTCTTCCAGAGGTTACTGTGCAGATAATTAAGAGTACACAGTGCTCAGCAACCATCCTCTCTTCTTCTAGTGAGAATGCTTCTGTTTTCACTTGAATATGATGCTTCTGTAATTTAATTTACAGCTATGAAGAAGGAAGAAACTAATATCTATTGGATGCTGTCTATGTCTTAGACACTATACATGACTAATTCACTTAATCCTGAGGACAAGCCTGTAAAGCAGGTAGACACAGAAATCCTAGCTCAGAGAGATTTATTAACTTGTGTAAGTGTCACAGATCTGGGGCTGAACCTATTCTCTGATTTGATCATCTTAATTAAGGGTGAGCCATTTCAGTTTATAACAGTAATTGTGTTTCTAGGAGGGGTACTTATTCATTCAATAAATATCTTAGTGCTTACTATGTGCCAGGCATGAGAAGCCTACAGAGAAGCCCCTGACACCATGGAGGACCCATTCCAGATGGCATAGATGCTTTACCTTTAGGACAACTCCAGGTGACAGTCACTGCCTGCAACATTACAATGACAGGACTCCGGGCAGACTCTGGACAGGTTGGAGTGAAGTGGTTGGTCAATGGTGCTATCATGGAGATTCTGGTATATACTGTTATCAGCCACCTGTATTTCAGACCAGTTAACACTGTTCATTCAAATATATAACAAAGCAAAGATCATCCTATAGCCCAGGTTCTAAGTTTTATTTTGAAAATAGCAGCCATAGTAGATCTAAACAAGGCTGTGCCCTAAGGAAACTCAGGGTATAACTGGCAGCCTTAGAGACATGTGAACAATACAAGATGATTCCTAAAGAATAGAACACAGGGGGCTGGGGATTTAGCTCAGTGGCATAAGCGCCTGCCTTGCAAGCAGGCGGTCGTGAGTTCGATCCCTGGTACCGATAAAAACGAAAAAGACAAAAAAAAAAAAAAAAAAAAAAAAAAAAAAAAAAGAATAGAACACAGCTGTCTGCCCCAGTCAGAGGTGAGAGGCTACATGGATAAGGATATCGTATTTGTTTCCTGTGTGACATTCTTGACTGAGGGCTCTTCACAGGCAGGCAGAGTATCTCCTCTGTGGGGCTAAACTCACTATCTGCTGTCTAAGGGCAGTGCAGTTGTGCCCACGCTCATCATGACGACCGTGACGTGTGCTTGCCTACATTGGCAGGCAGCCCTGACTCACCCTCCCAAGTGGGTGTACCGCATCATTCCTAATAGGACTGTACTCCTCCAACCAAACTCACCAGGATGTAAACCAAATTCCTCCTTTTTTTCTGTGTAACTTGATTTTCATATGATTATCTATTGAGATAATACATTTACATTTTTTAAAACTTAAGTCACCCCCCTCAAATATGCTATTAAAAAAATCCCCTCTCAATCCAACTCACAGCTCTTTTGTTCCCTTTCCAGGGAACAACCAATCAAAATTCCTTTGTACAAGAATCGAACTTAAATTTGGTTTTCTCTTACAAAAACTACAAGCATTTAAACAAAAACTAACTTTAAAAACATATAGACATTAGCAAACAAATATGGATACACATATATACACACATTATCATCATGGAACACGTGCAAGAGCATACTGAAAAGCTACCCTGTGCCTGTTGGTACAGCTCAGTGGAAGTGCTTAAGGACTTGAGTTCAATATTCAACATTTAAAAAAAAAAAAAAAGAGACAGGATGGAAGGAAGGGAGGGAGTAGGGAAAGGAAGAAGAAAGACAGGGAGGAGGAGAAGGGTGGGGGGGGAGAGGAATGAGAATGGAGGAATGAGGGAAGAGAAAAGAAGGCAGGCAGGCAGGCAGCCTGGCTCTTCCTCCATCTCCCTACCCAGAGACACTCAGCATTTGAATGGATGTGTCCTAGTCACTCTGCGATATACAGCTGTGCAAAAAATGAAAACAAAACACAACAGCAGACCAATACTAATTTTTCATTATCTCATTAGCATCTCAGGAACAATTCCTCCAAGCTTCTTCCTTCAGTGACTTTAATGACTTTGCCATCTCATAGATGGTGATTTATTTAATCAGCCTGCAGTGCTGGGTGCTGGGATTTCCAGTTAGCAACATACTGACAGACCATAAAATGTCACTGTAAAAGATTTATAGAAGAAATGTGGTCACCAGATACAGCCACTTTTTAAGGGCCAGGGCACTTATCAAACTGCTCTCCAGTCCACTGTCCTTCCCACATTATCATGACAGTGTCTCCAAATGCAGATTTCAAGAAAAGGCCAAAAAGCATGGCTTACACCCAGATCATCACTGTGGAGCTTCACACATCAGCTCTGTGCTCCTGAACCCTACTTTGAAATCCACATTAAGGCAAAGACCTCCTTGGGCCTGGTCACCTGCATTGTTGACTCAACCAAAGCACCTGACCTGGGCCCATCCCAGTCCAAGGTGACTCAGCTGAACAAGGGGCGGTACCACCTTTCCCAGAGAAGGAACCAACTGAGACAAAGCACCACTATCCAGGGAGGTAAACAGACTCTCTGAGCAGAAGCCAGAAGACCTAAACCAGCAGTGGCCTGCAGGTAAGTGTGGGTCCCGTAGGGGTTAGGAATGAGCGAAACCTTGTCTCATCCCAACTCGCTCCCTCCCTGCCTCTGCCCTTCAGACTTTCTTGGGAACTTTCAACATGCTTCACACTGGGAGTGAAGTGTATCTGGGCCAGGTCTGAAAGCTGAATGATTTTCTGCACTGCTTCCCACATATATCCTTACCCCTTCTCTATGCCCCAAACATCTACCAGAGGCTGGTTCTAATGAAAGCTGGAGAATGAGCACTCACTTTACTGATTATCATGAAATCCCCAGGCAATGGCACCCACACTTTGCTCCCTGACATGCTCTTGGAGCACACATCCTGCTGAAGTGAGAGGCCATGGATAAACAGCCTGTTTCCAAAAAAACAGAGCCAGGCCCCCTCTTGTTACCTCTGACGTGGTTTCTACCAACAACTTTCCTGCTATCACCAGGAAAAACCTGCTGGGAAACTGGGCCAAATGCTTTATCTAAGAATTATGTTCTCATGTAGAGGCTGGAAATAACTCAGCTGGGATGGAATGAGATAATGGAAATGGAGACTATGTACTCAGTCCCCACAGAACAGGGGCTCAGGAAGGGGTTTAGAATGAGCATGCTTGGCTAGACTGGGATGTACTGTGTGACATTCAGTGTCCCGGCTAGTAACTAACTACATACAAGCGCTTCGCACCTGGGTCCTTGCTGCCACCCTGCCCCTGTATCCCAACACGTCAGGAGGGCTGCATAAGCTAGACAATGGCACTCATTCTGCTCCTTAGAATTCCCCAGTGGCTCAAATTTCACCAAAGGAAATGGTGATGTCCTCACCAAGATCTACAGGTCCTACAGGATCTGGTACCTATCACTCTTTCTCCAGCCTCCTCTCCTGCTGCCTGCCCCTTACAATAGCTGATAGTCTCAGTGATCAGATGCTCCTAAACATAGCAGGCACTCTCCTCTCTGGGCCTGTGCAACAGCTGAGCCCTTGGCTTGGAATGCTCTTCCCACCATCCCTCTTGGCCTTTACTCAAATGCCCTGTCCTTGCAGTGAAGCTTTTCCAGACCTTCTGACACTGTCTCCTCTCCATCTTGGTTCATGCACTTCCCAGCACCTAACACAACCTGCAAGGTCAGGGGGCTTATCCTGCTTCACATTACAAAGTATCTTACTCAAGAACTGACTGACTCTTACTTTGTTCACTAACATTGAATGCCTGCGTGCTAGGTACTGTGCTAAATGCTTTGCATATATATCTTATCTCTTCAAAAATCTAATCTCCAGATAACTGTGACGCAAATGTTATTACTCGTATTACAAAAGAAATGGCACTCAAAAGGGACTTGCCCATGCTCTAGTTTCACAAGTCAGAAGCAGTCTGAGCCCAGTCCAGCCTGCCTCCAAAGTTGTTGGTCCTGCCCTGTCTCCCTGAGACGTCATTTGGAAACATCTGCATTTCTTGAAGTTTACAGCTTCTCCGGCAGGCAGTACAGCTGGGGGTAGGAGGTTACATGTAGATGGCTTAGCAACAGCCTCTTCCTTTCAAACTCACCAGATCCCTGGGCTAATTTGGCCTTTCAGGAGCTATTTCTCTGCCACAGTAACCCACGCATCTCTCCCGCACACTCTCTTCTGAAGGATAGATGAGCTGTCCACAGGAACAAGTGGGAGTCCCAGAGCCTTAGCTCTTTGGAACAAAATGTACTTATTTTAAATTCAAAGATGGGGGCTGGAGACCCCTTTGTGCTCTGGTGATCTCTCAAGGACCTCGTTGCTGGTTTTTTGTGGGTGTTTCTATGGCTTATATTTTTTTAGAAATACAGAAGTACAGGGATAATAGCATGGAAAGTGATATAGGACAGGAAAATTCCTCTGGGAGAGAAGGGTTAGATAAGCTCTTTTCAGAGGAGCCAATTACTTTCAGAAACTAAGCACAACATAGATCAAGCATAGAACAAAGTAAAGTCTTCCACTGTCAAACTGCAAGAGCCAAGGAACCTTTCAGTTTACCACATTAAGGCTTTTTTCTTCTCCCTTTCTAGTCCCAGGGTTTTCAAAGGACTTTCTACTGATTAGAAACACAGGTGGGAATGGGGAGAAAGACTGTATCTAGGATGTAGGCTTTCTATTTCTTCTATGTCAGCTTTTCTACTCCTAAAACAGTAACTATACCTGCTGTGTGTTGGGCCCCATGTTCTGCAATGGGGATTCACATGAGTGGCATTCTATAAACAGTGAGGACAATAAGCAAATACAATACACAGCGTGGATGGCCAGGCATGGTGGCTCATGTCTGTAATCCCAGCACTCAGAAGGTAGAGGCAGGAGGATCAGTCTGAGTTTGAGGCCAGTATGGGCTACAAAGTAAGTTCAAGGCCAGCCTGAACTGCACAGTGAAATACTGTCTCAGAAAGAAAAACAAGCAAGCAAGCAAGCAAATAAACAAACTCCCAAAATAATGACAGCAACAAAAAAAATACAGTGGAATTCCTTATGAAGGCCTTGCTCACAGTAGGTGCTTAATAAACACGTGGGAAACAAACAGGTCACCAGGTGGGGTTCCCAGTGGCTTCTTCCCAGGTCCCATGTGTCCTGAACAAAGAATTGGACAAGGTGAATATATGAGGTGCTGTGGTCTAAAAGAAGGCTTGCTGATCTCTGAGGCTATGTGCCAGATTTGGAGAAGGGGTCAGAACTTGAATCCACAAGATGAACAAAAAGGAGGAAGCTTTGAATGGTACTCAAGACTGAGAGAAAAGATGTCTCCAAAAGCTGGAGGTATGAGCTAGAGAACTGAGTTGCAGAGCAAGCAAGTAACTTGGAATGAATTAAATGAACCATGAGAGGTTGAGGGGTGAGACTGGAGACTGTGGGAGAAGTCAGGCCTGAGATTGATAGAGGCCTGAGAATCCACGACTCATGCGGCATAAAAGTATCTGTCCTACTTCAAAGTCATGAAGATTTTAATGCCAGGTCGAAGTCTGAGATTCATCCTGATAACAGGTGGGTTAGACTTTTCAAAATGGGGGAAAGGCAGGAGCTAAAGATTACTCTCAGTATCTGGGCTGACCCATGGATAGATTTGGTCGGACTGCAGTGGAGAGGCAGCAAAACTGGGTAAAGATTCACAATCTACAGGAAGTCATAAATACGCAAAAGGCAGCTCAACTCTCAGGCCTAGGCCACCTTACCCTTGAAATAGCACACTCCACAGCTTGAACTTTCCATCCTTGATGGCCACAGACATCTGCCCTTCCTCCAGACTTTGTTCCCTGGTTTCCTCTTTTCTGTGCCCCCAAATGCCTGAGTCCTTTATAACAAGCAATGGGTCTGATTTCACCGGGAAGTATTCTGCTCAGCCAAACTAAAGTTTCTTCTGGGCAGCAGAATCCCAATGGCCAATCACTGATGGGTGGCGCACTGCAGTGGGGCAGAGCATTCTGGGCTCAACACTATCAAGAGTCTGGGCCAATCCAGAATCTCCTGGTGACAGGGTGGAAAGGATGGTGACATTAAGATGGATAGGAAATACTCAGAGACCTGAAGGCCTTTATGAAACCAAAAGGAAGGCAGAGGCCTTTTTTTCAGTACCAGAAACAAGCACAGGGGAGCTCTGCACTCGCCTGAGCCAAATGCTGCCTCAATACAGCACTTTTTGTCAGGAGGGAGTGGCTCAACTGCACTCCATTCTTTCAGCACCCACAAGTGGTGCTCTGAGACCAGAGCTGTGAGAGTGAGGGTACACTCACCCACTTTTTTTTTCTTCCCTTGTGGCACTGAGGAGACTGAACCCTGGGCCTTTGTACTCGCCCTAGATAGAAGGCCTGAGAATCCACGACTCATGCGGCATAAAAGTATCTGTCTTACTTCAAAGTCATGAAGATTTTAATGCCAGGTCGACGTCTGAGATTCATCCTGGTAACAGTTGGGTTAGACTTTCAAAATGGGGGAAGGGCAGGAGCTACATCCTGGGCTGCAGTGGAGAGGCAGCAAAACTGGGTAAACATTCACAATCTACCGCACTGGGCTGCATCCCCAGCCCTTTTTATTTTTGGACAGTCTTGCTAAGTTGCCTGGTGTGGATTGGCACTTGCAGTCTCCTGCCTCCGCCTCCCAGAGTTTTAGGTTTACAGGCTCTGGCCATCAGGCACACCTATTCATCCACTTTAAAGCCCACCTGACATGCAATTTCCAGTAAAGAGGAAATGCAGAGCGCGACCTAGCGTTCCATCTTATATCTGCTGCTTTACCTGATCTCTTTTGGTGGAGGATGGCACTAATCACAGGGACCTGGAAAAAGTTAGAAGTCATTGGACGTTAGTAATCTACCAGATCAACTACCCCTTCCTTGGACAAGGAAGCAGCCTTTTTGCTCTCTGCAGCCGCGAAGCACACCGGGAGCCCCGTGCTGTACCCCAGCGGCTAGTACGCATGCGCACTAGGCCCCTCTGCGCAGCCTACAGGAGTCTCTGCGCAGGCGCCGCGGCTTCTATCTAGGGCGAGATGTCGCTTCCGGGTGGGGTTCAGGGAGCTGTTGATGTGGGTAATCTAGAGTTGGTGCAATCCTGTCGCAGATGGGCCAGCAAGTCCGGTCGTGGAGGATTGGCCCTAGTGCCCCCGTCAGGCTTCTTGTGCCTCAGTGCGTGGAGTTTCCTGGTGCTTCAGTTTCCCAACGCAGGCTGATTGAAGCGCAGGGAGGAGCCGGTGTCTCCTGGACCTAGGCCAAGATTCCCCCGGGTTAAGTATAATTAGGATGCCTTGTTATAAAAAAGAGAAGTGACAATAATCTGTAATAAAAGAATACACGTAAATCAGACTTAATTGACCAACAGTTTTATTAGCAGTTCGTATTTGACATCTTGAGTCAGAGGCTATAATACGTTTGTCTCTGATGGTGGGGTCACTGTGACATCTACGAATCAAGGCAGACACGGGTGTGCTGTTCTGGTGAACAAGGTCCTTAGTGACTTTCCAAAATGGTGAAAGCAAGTTATAACTTCCCTCCATTAGCCTGGTAGATCTATTTCTGCATAGTGTAGTTATAAGTAGTATAGTTTATTATAAGCTGCTTATATAAAATAGCTTACACCGTTTTGTTTTATTTTGCCTACACGAAGGTTTGACGGGATACATTTGAAAAACTGCAAAACAAAAGCCAATTTGTTGTAGTAAATATTCTGTCCATGATAAAAAAAAGGACCTATTCCTGTCCCCTGTCTCTTAAATGCTAGTTGAGTGCCTCCAGCCTTGTACCAACCAAAAATGCCTGCACAAATTTCCAGTTTGTTTCTCGAAATCACTAACTTATTTAGTTAAATCACAATTTTTGCCAGCATATGTGTACTGGGCACTGTGTTGTTAAACAGGAATAGTTTGTTGATCTCGACATAGCCCTGGCCCTTGTTAAGTGGGGTTCAGTGTGAGGAAATAATCACATAGTAGTCATATAATACTTAAAATATAGATGCAGATCAAGACTAAATATTCCTAAGTAGTTGGCAGGCCTGGAAAAGCCAACCTATATTCCCTCTGAAGGAGCCTTGAAGGAGCACTGCACTGAGGCTCCAGGTAGAGACCGGCAGGACTCAAGCAGATCCAGGTTGCCTGGCACATACTGAATGCTCAGGTGTTTTCAGTGAAATGCTGGATGGTTAAATGAGACACAGAGCATCTTTCCTGGCAGAAAGCCATTCCCCACTGTATGGGAAGCTGCCACAGGAGAGAGGAATACTTGCTTCCTGACTCCTTCTGTCCCCTAGTCAGGGCCAGTACTGAGTAGGGACCCAGAGAAGATGGCTGGGGGAAAGGGCCTGGGAGCAATTCTCAGGAAATGGATCTTCGATCCTGTGCTCTTCCAGAGGGCAGCTGCCAAAAATATAACTGCTCTGCTCTTGTGTGTTAAAGAAAAAGGAGGGCACTTACACTCATATCTGCTATTCATGTGTGATTCTGGTGGCAAGGCACATTTTTGATAAATGAGTAACTGCTGTGGACTGTCCTAAAATAAAAAATCTTCCTGGTAAAGGCAATCTAACCTCCCCACCCCTCTCCTGAAGGAAGTCAGAACCAACTCCCTCTTCCCCTAGGGAATTCTTGTCCTTTGGGGAAGAGGAAAGCACATGCAACCCTATCTAAGAGGGAGCCCTGGCAAAGCATTGCAATGCTCCAAGCTCTTGCTATGTTATTTTTTTTTTTTTCATGCAAGTTAGAGATAAAGAATTTTATGTCATTTTTAAAAATTTTAGCACTCCTTCAAATTTTTTTTATTTAAACACAAAACAAAATGGGCAGACATAGTACATACTTTCAAAGAAAAGAAATAAACAGTAATAAATCGCTAGTTGATGTATACATATTGTTCCCCCACAAATAGTTGTTCAAGATACAAAAGTGGAGCATATAAATGGGAATTCAACCAGGGAGACTGCAAATAGTTCTGTTCAACTTGCCAACGAAAACTAAGTAATATGGCTATAAATCCTATACACTTAGACATGTATGCATTTATACATATCTTCATTTATGTTGAGACCTAACAAAACTTATTAGATTAAAATCATTCTGAACAAAGATTAATAATATTGCTGGATTTCACATCATAACACTCTGGAATCAGCACTGGGTACTGCAGTGCCCCTTTCTTTCCTTCAAAGTATTTGTTCATTTCGTCATGTGTCATAAGATCAGTTCTCATAAACTGTTTATAGGTTTTCCACAAGCATGAGTCTTAACATGCATTTCTATCCTTTCTATATTAGAGGGAGAAACAGAACAAAGCAGGACAGAACTAAACATATTCCTATAGACACATAAAACTAAAAAGACTTATAAAACTGCTGTATAAAGAGTTCTACCATGGTCACTGTGCTGTTTCCTGTTATCATCAACAGAACTGGCTATATCATCAGATAAAGTGTAACTGAATATATCAGTACATAACAGAATTAATAGAAATACAACTTTGTAGATAGTATAGAGCTACAAAAACAGGTAGTAATCAAATCACAGTGTAATGAATCATTGTCATTTTCAGTATAGTTGTGTATACTCCTCAGCTTGATACCAGCAACCTGTTATGAATAAAATCTGTTAATAATAAGCAGCAATCAAACGAGTCAGATTTAACTAAGATCAGTCATGATACAACAGTATAAGTCATACAGGGATCCTGATTGAGTTAATAGGAAATTAAAGATGACTATTAGCACTCATTCAAATTTAAAGGACAAAAGACAACTCTGGGAGGCACATAGAATGCCTTTGGACACAGAGCATCTTCGGTCCTTGGCTCTATCCTACAAAGGTAGATGTTCTTAAGATACCAGAACTTTGCTTTACAAAGAAGGAAGTGGGCACCCAGGCAGAATGCATCATCTTGGCCTCTATGCTTCATTCAGGGTTAGGGGCCCAGCAGCTAATGAGCAGGCCCATGGGTTCTACCCTTTTGGGGCTCTCAGAGTAATGAAGCAATCAGACAAGTGAAGAGACAACGGTAGGAATAGCGAGTACTTAATAGAATGTGAAGAGAGCATAAAGTCAAGGCAGGTTTCCTACAGGAAGGATCTTCTCTGGTATTGGACTTGAAAATTGTTAGGAGTTAGCTAAGTAAGCAGAGGTTGGAGGAGTATTGCGGATTGAGGGATTAACATGCTTGAACACATAAAAAGTAACATTTCAGAACATGAAACTAGCTCATTGTGATTGGAGCTGGAAGTGGAGGCAAGAAAAGCAGCTGGAGGGTTGGCAGAGGTTGCAGACAAGTCTGTGCGGACTTGATGCCAGTGACTAAAGTGGCCTAGGTGTAAGAGCAATAGAGACTGCTGGGTCCTGGGGTGTTCTGGAGTCAGCTGCTCCTCAATTGTAGCTACTCAGGTTCAGGCTGAGGTCCACAAAGCTTCCCTGTTTTTCAGAAGTAGTGTGAAATTAGATTATTAAATGAAACATCTTGAGTTTTGCATTGAAGCCACTAATTCAAATGTTAAGTACTCTTAAGGTAAATAAATTAGGTTCAATAAATATTGTATATTTGTTTACATCTGACCTGTAGGCCACCACCAGTTCAGTCTCTGGAGGAACTGGCAAGTTGCTGTGGCCCCTTTAAGAAATGTAGGCTAAGTTCTGAGAGCAATGAGGAGCCACTGAGGGACTTTAAGCAGAGGCATAACATCCTGGCTTCACTGTGAAAGGGGCTGGTGTCTGCTGAGCAGAGACCAGCAGGAGGGGAGGGAGCAACCCCTGGGGAGGATGCTGTCCTATGAAACAAGATAGGGAGATGAAAGAAGTCCGTGAAACTGAGATATGGGAGAAGGCACTGATGATAGATTAGAAAAGTTAGAGCTAGGGCTGGGGATTTAGCTCAGCGGCATAAGCACCTGCCTTGCAAGCAGGCAGTTGTGAGTTCGATCCCTGGTACCAATAAAAAGGAAAAAAAAAAAAAAAAAGAAAGAAAAGAAAAGTCAGAGCTATGGGGCCTAGACGGACACAGGCAAGGCAGCAGGTACTTAAAAGAGCACTGATTCCTAAGGCTGTCCCCAGTGCCTGTGGGTCACTCAGCGAGGTTCCCAGCAGAGCTGGTCCTGGAAGGTATTCAAGTCACATCATCCCTGCACACCCTGCCCACCACTGGGTTCCTTGGCATTTCTTTGTCACAAGTACCTGTCATATGAGCAAATAGGACACACCTTGACCCTGAGAAACTGCAGTCCAGCTAGGACTGTTGAGTTTAGGGTAGGAACCTGGCCCAGGGCCAGTCCTGGAGAGCAGAAACCTGGGTAAAAGGGACAGTGACCTCTCTGCCTGGGAGGTCTGTCCAGGAGGAACTGAAGATGACAAGGAGGTGAGGCAGGGGCTAGAATGGATTGCTCTGCAGAGGGCGGGACTTTTGATAGCTAGGGAAATTAGGTAAAGGGGAAGAATTCATCCACACATTTCATCCAGGAAGAAAGAAAAGCATATTTGATAGGTAATAGTTCCTTTGAGGTCTTGACATCTTGTTCATTGGTTGGTCCTAATTAGAAGGTTTCAGTAGATATTTATGGTATTCCCTCTAGCCCTGCTTCCTCCTCTTTGTAGGGAGCAACATCCTGTCAAAAGTTTACTTTATGTGGTGCTGAGAGTTGAACCTAGAGGCTCTTAAGTGCTACTGAGCTTCATCTCCTGTTCCCCATGAGAACATTTAAATTCTTCCTATCCCTGTGCGTATGTCTAGATACATGCCTCACATGTGCCAGGCTAGTGCTCTACCAGCGAACCACACCCCGGCCAAAGCCACTGTGCCTGTATTTTTATAGATTCCCATGGGTCTTAGTTTAAGTCAGCTAAGAGCAAAAGTTGCCAGGGACGATAGAAATGGGTGATGTACAGAGGAGCTCTAGTGCAGAGGCTCTGGGTTCAAGCCCCAGTACTAATTAAAACAAAACAAAACAAAACAAAAACCCCACAAACAAACAAACAAAAAAAAACCAGACACACTGAAAATTGAATGCCAGTGTTCTGTGATCTTTCTGTTTTATGATCAAGTCCCAACCATTTGGCCATGGTGGGGTGATGCTGTCTAAACACTTAACCTAGGCCTGGTCTGCCATAGCTAGATTAAATTTAGGAGTTGAGTGATCAGCCCTTGCGAGTCTCTCCAACTTTTGACACATGGCAGAGAAGGATGTGGCCCTTAATCCTGGCTTTCTTGGTGAACATGTCCTGTCGTCCCCTGGGTCTGTGTTTTCAAACCCAGAGACAGCCAAATAGGCAGGTATGGAATTCGTAGGTGGAGGCCGTGAACTTAAGAACCAAACATACTGGCTTAAATCCTGCTTGCTCTGTCCCTAAAATGGGGACAATAACTCTTCCTCTGCCCTTTTCATACTGTATTGCACACATGGCAAAAGGTAGCTGTCTGTACTTCCTGAGAGGGTGGGAGTTGCTGCATCCTCCATCTTCTCATCTTCTGTGCTCTGCTCCCTGCAGGACTAGCTATGTCTGCTCTGTACCCATCTCTGGAGGACCTAAAGGTGGACCAAGTCATTCAAGTAAGTCTGCAGGCTCTCTGAGCCTGAGGTCCTGATGGAGGGCTGGGCTTACCTCAACGTGAAAAAGGCAGGCTGCCCTTGGAGGGTACAGAGTATGGGGTACTGAGAGCCTGACCATTCCCGGGAGGCCCAGGGCATGCAGGTCCCCACCACAGGGCCTGCTGGGCAGAAAAGGTCAAGGCCAGTGGAGTCATGGCAGGAATGGAACAGACCAGGCAGCCCCAGACATTGCTCTCATGTTCAGTTCTGTCCTTTGACTCTGTCCCTTATGGCAGAACCATGAGCAAGGCTACTCACATAGGATAGCCAGTGGGCATGGCCGTTGCCTGCTCAATCCCTTCTTCCTCCAACCCACTGTCCTGTGGTCCCAGAAGGCTTTGAGAATCTGGGCCTTTCGCCCTGGTTAGGAAGTGGGCTTTGCTGTCCTGGCTGCCACAGGCAGCAAATAAATCATGACATTTGTTAGGTCTCAGGTCCCAGGAAAACCTCCTTCTAGAAACATGCACATTTCCAGAAGCTACATTAAAAACAAAACTGGAAGGGGCTGGGAATTTAGCTCAGCAGCATAAGCGCCTGCCTTTAAAGCAGGCAGTCGTGAGTTCGATCTCCGGTACCGATAAAAAGGAAAAAAAAAGACAAAAACAAAACAAACAAACAAACAAACAAAAAAACTGGAATAGCTATCATCTCAGGCATTCATCATTTCTTTATAGTAGGAATACTCAAAATCATTTCCTCTATTGGGAAATACCAATTAATTGTTGTCAGCCATAATTATCCTACTGTGCATTCAAACCTTCGGGGGTATCCCTCCTACCCAACCTTAGGGGGTATCCCTCCTACCCAACCTTAGGGGGTATCCCTCCTACCCAACCTTAGGGGGTATTCCTCCTATTCAACAGTTGTCTGTGCCCATTAGCCATCCTCTCTACATCTTTCCACTCCCACACAGCCTTCCCAGGCTCTTGTAACCACTGTTCTATTCTATACTTTGTCGAGATCAACTTTTTAGCTTCCATGTGTAAATGAGATCATGTAGTATTATCTTTATGTGCCTGACTTATTTCACTTAACATCAGTTAGAGGCCACTTTTACAAGTGACCCGGAGCCTTGGGGGCCCTCGGACACACCCACCCCAAGCCCACCAACATATCTAATGCTCAGCCTCCCCTGCCTCGGGAAGTCCTGGTCACAGCTGGGGTGCTGGTCACAGCTGACTGGTACTCTCTGTTCCTTTCTAGGTCCAGGCCAGAACCTCACCCAGGATGCCCACCCTGCCCATCCAGGAACAGGCTTTTTCCCCACCTTCAGGTGAGTGGGCCTGACATGAACATCCACAGCATAATTACCCCTAGATGATGTTCTGGGACTTTGAGGATTCTGCTCCCAGGCTTGGGATGGGCCCCACTTCCCTGAGCCTGTGTGCATCGGTAGCCTTGAGGACATGGCTGTGCCTCTCTGGTCATTCCAGGCCTTGCCTCTCTCTCCCTGCCACTGTGTGAGGGCTTTGTGCAGTTTCTGCCTTTACCAGAAGCCTCTGAGGGGACAATGGGAAAAGTGACTTAGAGGGAGCACAGGAACTTCCTTATTTGGAGCCACCATGGGAGACCATGTAAGAAGACCAGGATTTGTTTTAGGTCAGGTTGTGGTATAGCAAACTTGAACAATTCCAGCTCTGTCACTGCGCAGGCTGCTTCCCTGGGGCTGCCCTGGCTCTAAATCTGCCTCTCCCAAGTCATCTGTATACCCTTCACAGCCTGGGCACCAGCAGTCTTTGTATTGAATGCTGAAGTCAGCTGAGTTGAATACCAAAGTGGTACCTGGGGACTTAGGATCCTAGGCTGCTCCTGGGCAAAGGCAGAACCCCGGCACCTTAGACACAGAAGTGACGACCCACATCATAAGCAAGTGTTCCTGGGGACTCAGGGCATCCTGGGCATACTCAGCATTTGTGACAATAAATGGCATGTCCAGGTTCTATCTCTTACTAAAAATGGGTGGGCATGCAGGAGCCAGGCAGGGGGAGCGAAGCACAGGCCTTGTGTGACACCTTTCTTCCTCTTCTCCATCAGTTCTGTACCCAAACCTGGCAGAACTGGACAGCTATATGGGTCTTTCTCTCTCCAGCCAAGAAGTCCAGCAGAGCCTGCCTCAGATTCCAGAAGGTGACAGTGTAGGTATTTTTCTTTTATCTCCTGCCTAATGAGAGCACAGATTGTCCCAACCCTCCCTCCTGTGGGTCTTCAATGGACTCCCCCTTTCTCTCTGTTTTGGATCTCTTCTTTCCCCCTGGCTTTCTTATAATTCTGGGATTCTATGATTTCATGGCTTCTTTAATGCTTGACTTGTGACTTCAAGCTCTAGCCTGAGCCAGATGGATCCGAAGAGAGCATGAAATCCAGTATGAGCTTAGAGGCACTGACAAATGGCTACCTATAACTCAGGAGCTTTAGCAGGAGTATGTTACCCAGCTCTGGTCTCCAAGTTAAACAGAACTGGTCCTGATTTGCATGGCTTTAGAGAACAAATGAAACCATCATACAGAAGTAGTTACTACCGAAAACATATTTCACTTGTAAACTCAGTCCCCACTCTAGATCCAGTCAGTGCTAGCATCTATCACGGTCTGTACCCACCAGCCTCCTCTAGAGCCCTTGAAATCTGTTGCAAAGTGCAATTGCTAGTCTTGCTGAAGCTGAAGGCTTTCATGAAGTTGTTGAAAGTGACAATGAAGAACTGCCATATAAAGCCACTGACAAATGAGAATCTCACAAGAGACAGTCAACAAAGATGAGGACATATGAGACCTTGAGAAAAAATTGGTGACACTTCGGATGTTTCTCTACAATAACACTTCCCTCTCTTTTTGTTTGTCTGGTTTTTTGTTGTTTTGTTTTTTGAGATGGGCTGGCCTTGAACTCACTATGTAGTTTAGGCTGGCTTCAGACTTGTGGTGATCCTCCTGCCTCAGCCTCTTGAGTGCTGGTGTTATACAGTGTGTCACAACACCCAGCTAACGATAACATTCTTGATGATTGTACTATAAGATACATCCAGAGCAAGGAAGTCACATTGATTATCACGACCTAATTATTCTTTGTCCCAATAATTAAGATATAAATGTATTCAACTTAAATTTTAATAAAAAATAAGAGGTAATAGATGCATTTTGTAATTTAACATTTTCTTCAGTTTTTATTTTTATTTGAATTCTTTAAGCTATTTTAATTCCATTGCCTTTCCACTTAAAGTTTGATTAACTTTGTCTATATGAAATGTCTTATTGACATTTTGATAGAAATTTTGTGATATTTGTATCTCAACTTGAGGAAAGTTGAAAGTTTATTAGTTCTTTCAATTTATGGATTTACATGACCTGTTTCTTTAGATATTTTCTGATCATATTTCTCAGTGCTTTGTCATTTTGGCATATAATTTCTATGCATGTTTTGTTAGTTTTTTTGTTTTGTTTTGTTTTTGTTTTTTTTTGTATTGGGACAGGATTGTAACCCAGGCTGGTCCCAAACTCACAGTGCTGCCTCACCCTCCCAAGTGCTGGGATTATAGGTGTGCACCACCATTCCTGGCTTTGTTGTGTTAAATTTATACCTAAATATCTCCTTTTTTGAGTGATTACAACTGGTTTGTATTTTCCATTTCAGTTTCTGCTGATTCCTTGCCAGTATATAGGAGTACAATTGATTTTTCAATTTTTAATTTTGAGGCAGGTCTTGCTAGGTTACCTAGTCTGGTCTTAATATCTTAGGTCTGAGGAAGTCCTCCCACCTCAGCCTCCCTAGCAGCTGGACTAGAGGTATGGGCCACTGTGCTCAGCACAGCTGACTTTTATATGTGGATCTTGTATCTTGTGACCTGGCTGAACTCATTTATTAGATGAAGGAGTTTTTCTGAAGATTCCTTGGGATTTTCTTCTTTTATTTGTTTTTATTAGTATATATTTGCCATACATGATGATCAAATTCATCACAGGGAATTTGTACCTGTACATAATATATCTTAATTCTTCTTTTTTCCCTTGTCTCCCTTTAGCTCTTTTTCTCTTCCTCACTTGCAAAGTTTTGTTTTCAGTTTTTCCCTTCCATTCTCTTTTAAAAATCCCCTTTTCCTTCCTTCCCTTCTCCCTCCCCCCTCCCTTGTTCCCCTTCTTATCTGAAAATGTTCTTCCTACTTTCCAATATCTACCTTCCGTTTTGCTCCCTATTTATCCATTGGTTTTCTCACACAGGAGAAACAACACTATATTTAAACTTGTGAGTCTGATTTATTTCACTCAAAATTATGGTCTTGAGGTGCATCCATTTACCTAAAAAATGACTCAAGTTTATCATTCATTATGGTCAAGTAGTATTCCACTGTGTGTAAATACCACATCTTCTTTCTTTCTTTCTTTCTTTCTTTCTTTTTTTTTTTTTTGGTACCAGGGATCAAACTCACATCCTTGTGCTTGCCAGGGAGGCGCTTACACCACTGAGCTAAATCCCCGGCTCCTAAAACTTAAAGAAATTTTTTTTATCAGTACTGGGGATTGAACTCATGACCATATGCTTGCAAGGCAGGCACTTATGCCTGCTAAGCTAAATCCTCAGCCCCCACATTTTCTTTATCCATTCCTGTGCTAATGAGCATATGGGCTGTTTTTGAGATTTAGCTGTTACAAATTGTGCTACTGTAAACACAGTTATGCATATATCATTGTGGTATGATGCTTTTAACTCTTTCAGGAAGATACCTAGAAGGAGCAGAGCTGGGTCAAATGGAACCTCTAGTTTTAGGGAATTTGTTCGTTTGTTTGGCAGAGTCTCACAATGTAGCCCAGGGTGGCCTTGAACTCATGGCCCTCCTCCTGCCTCAGCTTCCTGAGTGCTGGAATTACAGGCATGTGCCACTACACCTAGCTAGTTTGAGTTTTTAAGGAATGGCCATATAGATTTCCACAGTGGCTGTACCAGTTTGCAATTGAAAAAGGTTTCTTTTCTCCCATAACCTTGCCAGCATTTGTTATTGGTTGATTTCTTCATAACACCATTCTTTCTGGAGTGAGATGAATTGTTTTAATTTGCATTTCTCAATGAGTCAGTGATGTTGAACATTCTTTTCATATATTTCTTTGCCATTTCTACCTGTTCACCTGAGAAGTATCTATTCATTTAAGATGCCCATTTTTAGTTTGGGTCTTTAAATTTGGGGGCCTGTTTTTTTAAAGTTCATTATATATTTCATGTTAGTCCTTTGTCTGAGGAGTAGCTGGTAAAAGTCTTTTCCCATTCTGTGGGTTGCCTTTTCACTTTGTTGGTGGTTCTTTTGCTGTCCTTCCTTGGAATTCTCTAGTACACCATCATGTTATCTATGAATAGGAACAGTTGTATTTCCTTTTTTAAATATATCTGTGTGCCTTTGTGCTTTTCTCTTTTTCTCGTCCTATTGCACTGCCTCCATCTTTCAGTACTATGTTTCATACAGTAGTGAGAACTAGGTCCCTTGCTTTGTTTCTGTACTTTAGAAGGAAGTTGTCATTAATTTCTTTTTGGATTAAATATTTTTAAGACAAAGAGCCCTTTTATATCTCATTTTTCATCATTTACTGTAAATATTTTTCTACTTTGAATTTATCTAAAATTTTTTATTAGTATTGTACGTGTTTGCAGTGCATAATGATTCTATTTCTCTTGGCTATTTGGTATGTGTACATAACACACTGCTTTTACGTCCTCCCTTTCCTTCTCACTCCTAAGTGCATTTGAAAGGGATCGTTTCTTAATGTTAATTTCTCTCAGAAAATAAGGAACCCCCTTACTGTATCACGCTGCTCCTTTTCTAGATCATTTTTAAAGGTTGGACTTTGATACCCCCTAGTGGCGTCCTGTAGCCACGATCCCTTTCAATTCCTCAGTAACTTGTGGCTCAGGGCTGGGTTGGGCCTGGGAACTGTGGGGTCCTCCTTTGCCCAACCCTACACCCACCCCCCGCCCATGCTGACCCAGAGCCTCCCAGGGGTGGACTCACCTCTTGGCCCCTGTGCCTGCAGAAGGCAATCTCTGGTCCTTGGACTGGCCAGATGGTGGCACCGGTGACCGGGAACAACCTGGGCATGCGTCGTGCAGAGATCAAGCCTGGAGTGCGTGAGATCCACCTGTGCAAGGACGAGCGTGGCAAGATGGGGCTGCGGCTGCGGGCCATCGACCAGGTAGGCAATACGGAAGCAGCGGGGTCAAGAGTAGGCGATGATTCTGGGCAGGGCCTGCTGAAAACCCCAGGGGCCCGCCCCCCTCCAAGCTGCTGACACAGTTGGTCACAGCCTGCCAGGGGCAGTGCTCATAAGGGAAGTGTAGATCTGGCATCCTTACTCAAGACCCCAGGTCCTGGGTTGTAGCAGAAACCCACGGGGCCCTCATAGGCTCCTGCCACTCAGAGCCTTCTTTTTCCTGGCCCCAGCTTCCAAGGATCTGACTTCCTGGAGTTGTAGACAGAGGAAACCAAGATAGCCAGATGCCTTTAGGAGAGACACTGCGGTACAGTGGCTGTGGGTGCAGCCTCTAGCTAGGGCTGGAATCCAGACTCACTTTATGTGGTCTGGAGCATGACCTTCCCAGGAGAAGAGGGTGACCCTCATACCTGACATATAGAGCTGCAGTCCTGGCGCCTGGGAGGCTCCCAGAGTATTAGGAGAATGACAGGTTGGGGCAGGGGCTGGGTTCAGGGTGGCCAAGGGAACTGACTCAAGACCCTGCCTCCCCCAGGGGATCTTTGTGCAGCTGGTCCAGGCCAACACCCCCGCATCCCTGGTAGGGCTGCGCTTTGGTGACCAGGTCCTGCAGATTGATGGGCATGACTGTGCCGGGTGGAGCACAGACAAAGCCCACCGGGTGCTGAAGAAGGCATCAGCGGAGAAGATCATCATGGTCATTCGGGACAGGTCAGTGGCAAAGCCCCAGAATCCTCTCTGTGGGAGCCTGGCTACCTCCCCAGGTCCAGCTCACTGTCCTTTTTACCAGGCCATTTCAGCGGACAGTCACAATGCACAAGGACAGTTTGGGCCATGTCGGCTTCTTCATCAAGAAGGGGAAGATTGTATCTGTGGTCAAAGGGAGCTCTGCAGCCCGGAACGGGCTCCTCACCAGCCACTATGTCTGTGAGGTGAATGGGCAGAATGTCATCGGACTAAAGGTAGGAGTGATCACACCTCACAGGGACTATGGGTGCTAGGGAAACCCCTGCAGAGGCTCCTGTCTGCATAGACCGTGGCTCCACCAGCCACAGCTTCCTCCTCCAAAGGTTGTGAGATTCGATAAGACCCAGGCTGTGCACTCTGAAGCATCAGCCAGTGTTACTCACCTTGCAGGGTGTGACAGAAAGAGGGGTAAAGACACAGGCACCCAGCTGGCTACAGACTACGCGGACACCTCATCACTCTGTACTTCCATTTCTATGTTGATCACAGTTAATGGTATTTTTTCCTAAAGAAAATTGTTTAGAAATTCACTGCCAGCCTTTGTTCATTTTTCAAGGGAGGAAGATGTGGTGTGTTTTACCTTTAAAAATCAAGAAGGTGGTCATGGTGGTGCATGCCTATTATCCCATAACTCTGGTAGGTTGAGGCAGGAGGATCACATGTTTGAGCCTAGCCTGGGGAACTCAGCAACTTTGGGAGATCTTATCTCAAAATGAAGTGTGTGTGTGTTGCTCAGTGCAAAGGCCTTGGGTTCAATCCCATTACTGGAAAAAAAATCACGAAGGAGCAAGTATTCTGGGGTGCAGTGTTCTCTGGAGGTAGATGTGGAATGGGGCTCTCAGGGGAAAGAGACCACAGCTGATGATGAATCTTGGGTTTGGCCCATGATTGTACTTAGGCAAGATGCCACCTGATCCTCACCTTTAATAAAGAAGTAACTTTATCCTGATTTGATGTCACTCTGACTGAGAGCAGCTGTTAGCTCCTGTTGTCCAGCACAATGAGTTCTCCTGCCAGGGCTCGGGCCCTCATCGGGCAGAACTTCCACCACAGAAATGGCATGGGTGGCAGCATTTTACTTCACCACTGGCACAGTCATTCCTGTCACTGGCCTGCTTCCTTGTACTTCAGTCTCCCCTACCCTCCTCAGAGGTTCATTCTGGTGGCTCATGAGCATTGTGGCCACGAAGAAATATTCCCTTGCATCTGCCTAAGCTCCTTCTTACTGTGCTCTTTCCCCTTTGTCTGTGACCAGGCATGACAGTTCAAAGGAAACCCAATGTGCTTAAAAATCTAAGTACTGGGTGTGGTGGTACATGCCTGTGATCCCAGTGCTAGGGAGGCTGACACAGGAGGATTTCTGTGAGTTTAGAGCCAACCTGGGCTACACAGTGAGTTCAAGGCCAGCCTGTCTCAAAAGACCGTGTCTCAAAAATAAACAAACAATCAATCAAAACTAAGTACAGCCATACCAATTCTAAATTAAATCAGGTGTTCAGAAATCAGTGAATCTCTCTTTAAAAGTAGTACAGTTTTAAAAAAAGTAGTACAGTTATTCAATCTTAACTGTTCTGGAGAGCAGTCATGCTAAGATGTGATTCATCTGCACAGAGGGCTCCAGGCGTCATTGTGAATGTACCAGGTACTCTATCAAGCCATGACCCTGTGAGGCTCTTCGGAAACAGCCACTCAACTGAGTGGCTCCAAATAGCCCCTTCTCTACTTTTTCTTTCTCTTTTTTTTTTACCTCCTGTCTTTTTGAGACAGTCTCATCGTGTAGTTAAGGCTAGCCTTGAACTAATTATGTAGCCCAGATTGGCCTTGAACTTGCAGTGATCCTCCTGCATCAGCCTTCAAAGTGCCAGATTTACAGGTGTGCACTACCTTGCTCAACCTAGTTTTGAGGTCATTTCATAGTTTATTTATTTCTGCACTGTGGCCATCACTGGTTCTGTCCTATTTTCTATTTATTCTGGAATGACTTGACAACATATAACCAGATTACATATATGTGTAAAGTAAAGGTCACTAGGCCCTAAATATGGGCCAGCAGTTCTGGGGATCACAGCTGCAGGATAGAGTGTCTGGAACCATTTGTTTGGAAGCTGTAAGTTTCCTGATGGTCTAAGTAACTTCTGCAGGCCTTTGTCGTCTCACCAGTCAGTGACATAAAGCAAGAGGACCATGTAGGGCTGGCTCAGGCTGGGTGGCCAACAGGCTGGAGGACACAGGAGTGCCTAATGTTTTCCACTGGAGATTGGTTTTCCGTGTGGTTTGGAGCTGGAACCCAAGTGTCAGTGGGGCCAGGAGAGGTGATGGGAGATGGAGGGCTGAGGATCTCACTATGAGGCCATGTTACATCTCAGTTCCACACAGCTGGCCATCATGGGCTGGGACCTCTGACCTTTAGTTGGTAAGGCAGAAGTCCCATGATTGTACTCAGGCAAGATGCCACCTGATCCTCACCTGACCAGCTCAGGGTCAAAGAAAGCCTGGTTCTGTGGATGGCCTTCAGTGGTATCCTCTAGCAGCAGCCATGGTGACCTCTACACAGAGGATCCTGCACTATACATCCTGGTCCTGGGTGACCATGCACTCACTTCCTCTTTAGGACAAAGCAATCATGGAGATTTTGGCAACATCTGGAGATGTCATCACTCTGACCATCATTCCCACTGTGATCTACGAGCACATGGTGAAAAAGTAAGGCCGCCATCCCTTCTCTGCCTTCTCTCTCCCCTGCCTCCTGGAGCTCACCTGGGCTCCTGGGTGCTGACCGATCTTCCCCTCTCCTCCTCTCTGCTTGGGTGGGTGTTGACTTCTGAGGATTTGGAAGTCTTAAAACTGGGGGTAAAGTGTCATATAGGGTGCAACTTGGAAGGTCTAGGGAGAAGGAGCTATCAGTTTCAGTCACCATCACTTTCCTATATCCAGGTTGTCACCATTGCTGCTCCACCATACCATGGACCACTCCATCCCAGATGTCTGAAGCCACAGGAGTGCATGACAGGCCTCTTGCAGAGAAAAGCAGTGGTCTCAGATGACAGGTTGCAGCTGGCCTGTTGCCTGGGTTGGGTGTCTTGTGGCTGTTCCACGTGGGTGGATACGGGCTGGCAGGAATCTGTCATCTATGGCCACAGGCCTCCTTGCAGCCTCAGACCCTGAACAGGGCTGAGGCTCAGACAGGGCCCACAGGCCACTGACTGAAATGCTAGGTATGTAGATAGGCCAGCCAAAATGCTGCTTCGACTTCAGCTGGGTCATTTTAAAATTTGGCCTCTACCAGGAAAATCACTATACATTTTGAGAGAACCGAACTTCATTCTTTGCAGGGATGTTTTCTTTGTCTTTAACTTGTCCCTTGTCACAGATTGTATATAGATTATATAGTTATGATTGTTTACTGTCTTTTGAATAAAGACTTGATTTTAAACACAATATCTTCCTGAAGTTTAATTAGAAATTTCAGAGTCTATGGTCCATGACATGCCAGAGCTGGTTTCCTTTCAAATAGTAGCGAGACCAGGGCCCTTTCTACATGTGGCCTCAGAGACTTGGTTCAGCCTTCACCCGGGCTGCCTGACACTCTGATGCAGGGATGAGTGGAACTGGGGCCATAAGCACTGGCTTTGGAACTCCTCACTAAGGAGCCATGTGTGGTTCTGCATCTGTTTAATGGAGTGTGAAGCCACTTCACAGGTGTTGGGGAGAAATGTAGTATCTTTACAATGTCCAGCAGGGTCTGACACCTGGCATCAAAGGGAGGTGGCTGTCTACCCTCTTCCTGACCTGCATGGGCAGTGGTGCCCAGTCAGACTCAGCAGGGCCTGCTGGGGTCAAATCAGCACATGCTCTACTGCCCTCTGTACAAGGTAGGGGAGATGGTGTGATCCCACCAACCCTCTTAGAAAAGTGACACAGGACAAAGAAACCAGGCCAAGGATCTCATGGTGTGTTCATGCTTTAATTCAGAGCTGTGTGCTGCAGGTACAACTCTGTCTGAACAAAAGGACAAGGAGACGAGAGTCAAGACCCCTCCCCACCTCCCTCTTTCCCACATCCCCTGAATTCTTGGTCAAGGGGATGGACAAATATGAGAGTGCACTGTGGCCCATTTGCAGTGTTCCCTAGTTCAGAAAAGGAGTTATGAGTTCACTGGGCAGAGGCCCCCAGCAGAGGTCACTGCCCTGAAACCTTGTGATCTGCCCCCTACCCCAAAATGCTGTCAGATATCCCTGTGCTAGTGACAAGTGGGAAGAGTGTTCAGTGAAAAGCTAAGTTATCCTCTCAGGATACATTGGTCATGAACTCTGCTCAAGGCCAGCTGTCTGCAGAAGCCCAGGCCCAGCTCCCAAGTCCTGCCTGGGGATGGACCAGAGGGACAGTGGCACTGCTCTGGTCCTGGCCCCAGAACTAAGAAACAGCTGCTTCTAACCACTGGGCTCCAAAGGGACCAGCAGTTCCAGAAGGTGGTTTCCTGGGGACACTATTCCTCAAGGCCTAATTCGGTGTGACTGGAGGCTGGAGCAGACACCCTGAAGATTTCTGTTCCAGAAGCAGAGGGCAGGAGGGAAGGGTTGCAGGAAGCAGGAAAGGGGAGCTGCAGAGTCAGAGCACTCTCCAGGAGGCACTGGCTGTGCCCAGCCTTGCCCTCTCAGGTGCTTCTGTGCCCAAGTAGCCAGGCCTGGAGTCAAGCCAGCAGCCCACTGCATGTCCACACGGGGGCAGCACAGGCAGTGCTGGCCCTTTGCATAGATGCGGTACTGAGCATGTGTGCTCAGAAACTGGGCCAGGGCCACCAGCCCAGGGGCTGCCTTAGGCCTGATGGTGAGCTGCTTCCTCCACTGGCAAGAAAGAAGGCCCACTGATGGCCCTATCAGAACCCACAAAAAAGAGGCCCCTCAGTGCTATAGGTTCAGGCCTCTGTGATCCACAGAGGCAGAGCTAGGCCCACAGCAGAAGTGGAGGGTGGCAGTCAGGCCTCCCTCACCTCCCCCAGTGGCTTTGGGTCCATCCATGGCTCAGCCCTTACAAGTGGCTTCTCCAGCAGCAGAGATAGAGTGGATAAACCCAGCCCTGTCCACACCCACCGAAACCAGGACATGATAGGAAGGCCACAGATAGCAAGACACAGACAGGAGCAAAAGGGTTGCAAAGCTTGACTAAATTCCAGTGGTGAAAAATATATAGATTTTGTTGTCAAATACAGTTCATACATTTATTTTCTCAGCAAAGCTTTGTTTCTAAGGAGATGCTACACAGTTCCATGAGCACATGGCACAGGAGGCTGGGTCTGTGGCCAGTCCTGGCTTGGCTTTGGGTTGCTTTGATCCCCTGCCTACTCCACTGCATGACCCCAGTGTCCTGTGGGGCACCTGCAGCCAGGCCCCAGGCACTCAAGTTTAGTTCAGCAGGGGCAGGAATGATCCACAAAGGAGGGCTGGTCTGAGGCCCTGGCTGAGGCAGGGAGCTTTGGAGGCACGAAGCGTGTAGTAAAGGGGGCTCTGGCCCAGATGGCTGGGCTGGTCGCCCACCCCCAGTGCATGCAAGTGCCCCCAGGGGGAGGGCACAGAGTGGAAGGGCAGACGCAGACCCTACCAATCAGGCAGTGGCCGTTGGAGCATCAGAGGGAAAGTGATCTTGGTAGAGAACCAGAGTGGCCGCTAGGCCAGAAGGATATGTGAGACGTACCGTCCCACCAACTCCCCCAGTGTGGGATCTAACCTCTGATGAGTGTATGGGATGCCTAGATGAGTGTAACTCCATGGAGGAAGAGGAAGGACTTTACTTTGTAAACTAATAATGGTAATAAAATATCAGCAGCTTTGCTGGGGGATTCAGATGTGGTCCCAGGGAAGTCGAGGAACAGTAAACCTTCCCAGGGTAACCTGGTTTGGGCTGGGAGCAGGTGGCCACAGGGCTCCTCCTGCCCTGCTACACCCCTGCCTGGGAAACAAATCACAGGGCACCTTGCTTTGGCCTGAACAAATGTTATGGCTTCCATACCCCATCCTGAGTCATCCCACCAGAATTATCTGCCCAAAGGCAGGCAGGTATATTTAGGGACCCTCGTCCCAGAAAGCAAGCAAGCACTTTCCAGGGTTCTTGGGATGGGGGAGAACCAAGCCCTGAAATGACCACAGTGGAAGGCAGAAGTTGGACTGGAGGCCCCTTGAGTGATGGCAGGCAAATTCCAAGGGCAGCCATGGCCCGTGGCTTCTCAGAGCAGCCAAGGAATCCTGAGTCCAGCCATGCCTCTGAATGGTCAATGAGATGGCCTCATTGCAGAAGGTTCATGGCCCCTGGAGCTCCCAACTCTGCCTCCTCTATGCTGGCGTATTTCCCAATGAGTGTCATGGTTTGAATGAGTCTGCCTTCCACAGCACCTAGCTGGTCATAGCTTGGCTCTCTCTCAAGGAAGAACAATCTGACACACCCAAAAGCCAAGAGGAAAATGGATCATGGGGAGGAACTGGGAAGACAGACAGACACAGTGCTCATTCTACCATCAGCCTTTCATGCCTAGCATGTTGTTCTTCCCACTGTGGGCTTGACAGTGCTTCTGAATCCTGAGTGGGGAGCAGCAGCTTCAGCCCAGGCCCAGGGATTCCAGATGCTGCTCAAAGTGCTTGGGTCAGTTTTCTGCACTTTGGCCACAGCTACCTCCATCTGAGGAGATAATACTGTCTCAGAAGTCTGGAGGGCAGGCCGGCTTGGGAGAGAAGACATGGAGTGGGAGGGACACTGGACAGGATGGACCAGGGAGGGGAGGTCCCCAGGTAACCCAGCCAGAGACTTCCTGAGCAGGGCCCACCCCATCTAAGGGCTGGGTGTACAGAGGGGCTGGGTTGGGGGCCTCAGAAGTTTGTCCAATCAGTGCACTTCCCTGCCTGGGTCTCCCTTACTTTCTCTCTTGGGAAGTTTTGGGATGCCTTTCCCAGTCCCTGCTCTCAGCCAGACACTGTTAATATCCAGGGAGAAAAAATGGTCCTGAACCCAAAACTAAATAAATAAGATGATGCCTGTGGGAGTATGGGAAGGGGAAGACAGCGTCCCTACAATCAGTGGTCAGGCTTCCAGAGCGCTGCCCGGATGGGGTGGCCCCATCAGAGCTGGGAGCTGCTGCCCGAAGAACTGGGCCCTGAGTGGCCTAGCGAGCGGCAGCTGATCCTGCGGATGGAGTGCAAGGCCACAGTACAGCAGCCCCGCAGCAGGGAGCTGATATTGTAGATGGGCTGACCCTGGCGACGCTGGGAGCGGCAGAGCCAGGCCACTGTGGGCACAGCTGGCACCACCACAGCCAGCAGATCCACGATGTAGTGGCGACTCCAGTAGCTCTTGGGCTCCTTCTCAGCTGTAGCTGCAGCTGTAGCTACCTCCTCCTCCTCCTCCAAGGGGCACACCACACTCACTGATGGGCCAGGGTTGGGGTTGGCTCCAGGCCGGTATGCAGTGGGCCCGTGAGTGATGGGCTCCGGGACCTCGAGCTCATCACCCATTGTCACCACCACTGCTGAGTTGGGGTCTCTGGGCCCTGGGGACTGGGAATCTGACTCTGGGTGCCTGTCCCCAGGGATGGTCCCACAGACATGGGCCTGGGTCACTCTCTCCAGGATAGTGTCCAGGTCAGGCTGGTACTGCACAAAGTCTGTCTGGATGGCCCGCTCCTGCATGCAGCTGGCCTGCACACCAGCTTCTGTGGCACATAGCAGCTTTTCATAAGTGTTACTGGCAGGGAAGCGGGCACCAAGGCTGAAGGAGCTGTGCAGTGAGGCCTCCTCAGGGCCACAGTCCACCCCCGATGACAGCAGGCTGCTGGCCTCCAGAGCGTCCGTCCGGCTCAGTGTATCATCAGCAGCCACGAAACCACTATCAGCTCCATCTTCCGCAGTGGTGCTGGGAGGATCACCAGGCTGGCGGTCACCACAGACAGCCGGGTCACTCAGCTTGGTGTAGGTGGAGCTGCGGGTGAGGGAGCGGGCAGGGGAACCACCGGCTGACTCCCCAGTACTCTCCTCCTTGGCAGTGCCATTCTGGGCCACCTCCATGCTGTGCAGCAACGTCTCCAGCTTCTTGTTCTGGATGTTGATGTCCACAAAGTATTTCTGCAGCCCCTTGTCTTTGTCAATCAGATTGTTTTTGACAGTGTCGATGACCTGCTTGAGCTGTTTGATCTCCTTGCGGGCTTCCTTCAAGGCTAGCTGTGCCTCCACTCGGTGGCATTCCTCCTCGATCCAATCCTCCTGCATACGTGACAGCTGCATCTTCAGGTCATCAATCTCTGTGTCCCTGCATGCAGAGGAGCACTCCCTCACTGCCTGCCTGGCCTATCACCATCACCACAGGGAGGCAATGAGGGGCAGTTATCACCAAGGAGAGGGGTCCCTGCACTGCAGTGTCTCAGAGCTAGAAGCAAAAAGAAGGGACTTGATGTCTATTGCCTTTTTTTCCACCCCACAGGGAGCAGTGAGGGTTCCTGGGGACAGGGTCAAGGGTGAAGGCAGGGCAGGCCTCCTCCTGAGAGGGAGAAGAAATGTCAGTCAAGACATTACCTGTTTCTACCCTTGAGGCTAAATTGTAGATGACTTTTAATCTATCATCTGGAGAACAGATGAAAAAAGATTTTTATAAGGCTACTGCTATGAAAATCTAATAAAATCTTAATATAAATCAAAAGTAACTAGACAGAAAATCTCTGCTCTGTTGAAAGGAATGTGGTCCTCTTCCAAAGCCAGGCATGAATATTTTAAATGGATGGAGATGTGGCCAGACACCCTAGGGGAGATAGCGGTGGCATGAGAGGATAACCACCTTCGGTGTTGGTGGGTGAAGTTGATAAGTTTACATCATGTGGATGGCATGAGAAGTGGTAGATGAACTGGAGGAGGGTAAGGAGAAGAGGGTGGCTCTCCTGAATTCATGTTAGAAGTTTCTTCTTTGTGTCTATTGTAAAGAGGGAGGCTGAAAGATGGACGAGGTAAGCAGCAGAAGGGGCAAGCATCAGGCAAATGTGACCACTGGATGTACCTTGTCAAGAAATGCTCAAGATTTTCCAAATCTCTGAATTACAGGTGGATTCATAGGGGAGTCAGGCAAGCTTGAAAATCATGCCATTGAGTCTAGAGGCAAAACCAGGGCAAGATGAACAGAGATTGACTGAAAGAAGCAAAAGAGTAATAAAATCATTCACCAGGTTTAATCTCCTCCCTGGACTCTTCCTCCACCATGCAGCTGCTCAGCCGGAGCCCCAGGCTCAAAGGAAAAGGTCTACAAATAGCATGGTCATCACTGTGGAGATTATGGGCTCAGCACAGTGACTGTCCCAGATAAAGCAAGATGGACTTTACAAAGTCAGATTAGAAATTCTATTCAGGAACTGGGCCCAGGAATCTCATTCCACATTTTGCTGAAGGGACTGGGGTTGAGGGGTCTCAGTACCTTATAACAGTCACCACAACATCCTCTGGCAAGGAGCCTAACACACAAAGGACTAAGCAATCCAGTGGAGACAGTAAGCCCGAATTGCTTACAGTGGCAACGCAGATGTGCTAGTAGATATGGTGAGGGGATGCTTGTTCATCACTCTTCCTGCCTCAGCATGGGGTTCCCTGCAGGGTAACCCTCCTGGCCTCTCTCCCTACTCCTCACACCTTACCCTAGGAGGAGAAATGAGTTTGGAAGAAGGTACTAGGCATTCTTAGCTTGGCTGATCCTTCCTCCTCTCTTTGGTGCCCGCCAAGCCTCACAGTACAGTGGGTTCCCAGCCTTGTCCATGCCTCAGTGGATTGCACGGCATTGAATGAAAACTGGGTCTTGAAAGATGAGGTTGCTAAAGAAGTAAGATAGGGGAAGGGCACATCAGGTGACGGTGATACTGCATACAAATGCAAGGAGGCATCACAACACATGCCATCTTTAAGGAGCAGAAAGTAGGCTGCTAAGGGTAGAAATAATACAGAGGGTGTGGAGAACATGGAGGTGTATCATGGCCACAGGCTTCTGCAAGAGTCACAGAGTGACCTAGACTGAGATGTGAATATGACCACCACAAGGCATCCTGGCCAAACCATGCAGGGGAGGTAGTCTGCTTTTAGCAGCAGGGTTAATCTGGAAAGAAAGATGGGAGATGGCTATATCCCCCTGAAAATATTAGAGAAAAAGATCAAACAGATTCCAGGCATCATTGGGAAGACAACAGGAAATAAAGATAGAATTCCTAGTTCTAAGACAAAGAGGCTAACAAAATGCTGCCCTAAACTCCTATACTTCCAAACCACAAGACATCCAAACTGGACTGTCTAATAGGCAGGGCTGTGGTCAAGAAAGACATGGCTGCAAATATTATATCATGAATTGTCCAAAAGAGACAAATTCATAGACAGAGACAGCAACAGCTTGCAGGGGCAGAGGGGTGGGCTCCACCTAGATGTGGAGGATAAGAAACCATCTCATAGCTGAAGAGACATAGGGTGGAGTGGGGGGCTTTCCTCTGTGGAGCCCTGGGTGTGCAAGCATAGCTGGTGTGCAGGCGAAGCTCTCTTTGCACCATTTCCTTTCTGATACATGCTCTCCTTGCCCACCCTCATGTGCATAGGTGGGAGCCTGAATTGAGGGGATAGCCCCTTGCAGGCAAACTGTGCCCCACCTTGCCTGCGCAGACACCTGGAGCAGTCAAGAAGAGTTGGATGGGTGTGTGTTCAGTGAGTTTGGACAAGCCATTGCTGGGAAGGAAAAAGCAAGTGAATGGTGGGAAGCCCCATTCACTCCTTCCTTCCAGGGCCATCCTAAGGTCCTAGTCCCTCTGGGTATGGAGCTGGTGGGTAACCCCATGGCTGTACTAGTTGCCTGCTCACCGGTCCTGGAGCCGGTCCTGTGTATCCTTTAGTCGTGCCTTCAGGTGCCGGATGCATACCTCCTTCTGCTGCAGTGGGGTCAGGTACTGCTCTGGGGTGGGTGGCTTGATGCCGTGGTTGTCACTGCACAGCGTGTACTTCATGGAACGCCTGCAAGTGGATGCCCATCATGGGGGTGGGAGAGGAAGGGGCAGGAAATGCACAGGCGCTGCCTCCAGAGAAATGGGTCCTCACCCTACTATACCTAGTCTATGGCCACCAGATGGCTCCAAGCCAAACATCCTGAAAGAGGGTCGGGTGGCCACAAGGACACCATCCTGCTGGAAGGTGAGCTTTAGTGAAGCTCTTCTGAGAGGAGACCAGGATGGAGTTGCAGGGCTCCTCTGATGAGGGGTGATAACACCCATCACAAGGTGCACATGAGCCAGGCACCTGTGAGCACTTACTGCCACCATCTGCATTGTCCTCACAGCACCGTTGGGAGTGGGGAAGCCTCCGTCTTGCAGAAGGCTGCTGGTCTAAGCCCACAGAATTAGAGGGCATCCAGAATCCAGGCTTGTAGACTTGAACCCAGAGAATGAGTACAGGGTTGGAGACTTGGGACGGAAAAGAAGATTTTGGGTAAGCAAGGAAGACAAGAACTCACCCTATAGAGGAGACATGGTGGGGGCTTTCCTCTCCAGATCTGAGAGCTCAGGGATGGAGCTGGGAAGGCAGACTTACATGTACAGGCACAGCTGTATGCTAGCACAGCTGTCCTAGCATACACGCCACATGAAACGCACACTCCTCTTGCCCACCCTCATGTGCATGTAGGTGTGCATTAACTGTGCACATACTTACTGGGAGTGCACATCTGAGTGTGTGGATTCCTGGTCTGTGTATACTATGCACACATGTGTTTACACACAGTGCCTGTGAAACTTTGCCCTCTACCTGCTACCCTCATGGGTAATCTCATGTGTCAGGGCAGCAGTCCCTGCACGTCACACATTCATTCCCTGGACATGTGTGTGACTGCATGAACACCTGCTCGGTCTGGTATGAGCAGTCAGCAGTCCCCTGTGGTGCAGCAGGCTGGGTGTGCCCAGCTCCACACCTGGTGTGGGCTTGTGTGGCATGTGTGCAGCACATTGGCTCCTAAAGGGTACCAGGGAGGAACCTCTACTCCGAGGGCAAGCAGGCCAGTGGTGAGAGTGAGCCAAAACTTTCCAGGGAAGGAAAATACCCTGACTCTACAACAGACTGTGAGATCCACCCACGACTTCCTGGCTGCTGGTTCTTCTGTTTTTAAAGAAATGTCTTAAAGCTCAGCTAAAATCCTGGGCACATTCCTACCCAACTAAAGACTCAGGCCTGCTGTCATCTGCTCCAGGGAGGGGCAGATACAGTTCAAGACTGCAAAGACAGGCCTTTGTGAGGCCCAGTTGCTGACACAGCCAACCTGGAAGAAACTTATGATTTCATATAAACTCTCTAATCTTTACGGAGGAAAAAGTACTTGTAGATTGTGAACTGTTGAAGAGAACGTGGTGGCAGGATTGGAAAGAGAAATGATATTCTCTTACTTTAGCTTACCTCATGGTCCCCAAGTTCAACTCAAGCCAAGACACACATAGCCTTGCTTTGCAAGGGGCAGGAGCTTGGGGTTGCCCCATTTGATCTAAGAAATATCTTTTCAAAAAAGAAGCAAGCTATGTGGACAGTGCTAAGGCCCCATATACTCATCCTGTAGCTCCGCCAACCCCGCAAGGGCTTTGCTCAGAGTTCTGCAATGAGTAAAAAGTAGTCTGTCCCTTACCGGGGTGAGGTGGTGATGGCAGTGACAGAACCAAGATTAAACCAGTAGAATCAAAGATTAGAGGGAAGTAACTTTTAACTTTTTTCATGTGTTTTTATGGGGATTTTTCCCAAAAACATTTAACACATATTTTTAGTCAATCTATCTAGTACTATCTAGTACTATCTAGTACTATCTAGTACTATCTTCCAAAAAATTATATATATATATATATATATATAATTATATATATAAAATTATATATATACATAAAATTTATAATACACAGATATGTGTGTGTACATATATATATATATATATATATGTCTCTATATGTTTGTCTGTCTATCTATCTATGACTGAGAAGTAAAACATACTGCAATGCATGTCTCTCAGCTACTTAGACCTCTGACTGTCTGACTGTTTGCAGGGAGGTCCTAACAGAGGTCCCATCATCATTATCTGGAGACAGTCACTCTCATGGTAGGCAAGAGGACCTTCCTCAGAGGCAGTGGGGGTGGGATTGCGGCTCCAGGGGTTACAGTTACGAGATACCTCATGAAGATTTGTTACTAGTGAGAAAGTATTGAAGTTTTCAGTGATTTATACTTTTCTACATTAAGTTAACACATCACTCCTGTCCCCAGGCCCTGTCGTGGAGGGAGGTACAAAGCCCGGGTATGGTCTTGTACATACCTGTTACCCATCATGTCACCTATCAGTAGAAACTCAGAAATATTGCTTGCAAATTTCTGGACCTCACTGTGTAAAAATGACATCTTCCCCAAGGAAGGGATAGGACAAGCCTTCTCAAGAGGTGTTCCGGCTATGGGGGCAACAATTGGGTGTTCCCTGGTCTTCTTTGCTCACATCCCTTAAGACTAAAGAGCACAGACTAAAGCCCCAGTAACAGAGGTTACTTAGCATCTAGTATATTTGATCTGCAGAGACCAACTCATTGTAGCCTCTGGGTTTTTAGTTCTATTTTACGGACAAGGGAATGAAGATTCAGAGACAGGAAGTGGCTGGATCCAAAGCTACGCCTGCCCCCATACTTTTCTACTGCACACTTGTATTTTAACTGCACAGAGCTACCATTCCAGCTCTTACTTCCTGGTCTTCTAGAACCCACAGTTCCCTTCATTTGCCTATGCAATCTGATCTTGCTTTTCAAGTCCGTGATACCTGAGATCAAACTTAGCACATGTTGTGTTTCTAATACATCTCATGTCCCGAACCAGTCATCTCTGCCACTTCAAAGTGTCCTCTGAGAAGAGCAAGCTGGAAAACATTCTTACCTTGTCTTTTCCCCAAAACAGAATCCTGACTTTGTGTGTGTTTGTGTGGGGAGCACTCTTTATTAACTACCCTGTATCTATTTAGTCTAATAACCCAGTTCCAGTCAGTGACATAGGCAGTTTTGACCCGTTCTATCTTCTTCCTTCTTGGCAGTACAGGAGCCATTTTGTAACGATGACAAAAGCTGCTTTCCAATGATGGTGGCACAAGAAGAGAGACCCTGTGATGCTTCAGGGAGCAGGTTATCTCTCATTCCTCATTCTAAAAGCATCACCCTGGTTTGGTTAAGCCACTGTATTTGCTTCTGTGTAGTGGGTATTTTGTCCATTTTATAGACTGGAACTGAAGTTTAGAGGGTGGCAGTGACTTGCTCGAGGTCACACAGCCAGTCAGTCAGAGTGCTGGAACTGGGGATAGTCAGAATAACACGCTGGACACCTCCCCCCCAGAGCCCTGATTCCCGGCCAGCTGTGAGACTGGTGATAGGGCGGATTACCTGGGTGTGGGGCTGCTGTCGCTGCCCTTGCAGGAGCCTGAATTGCTGCTGCTGCTGAGGGAAGAGGTGCCATAGGCATCCCGCATGCTCACGGGTGGAGAGGTGCGCCTGGAGGCGGGGAGAAGAGGCAGCTGCTCATTCTGGCTGGGGGGTAGCTGTGGGCACTGAGCGAACACTGCGAGGCCACTGTGGCTCAAAGCGCCCCCACTTCAGGGTCACCAGCAGGGAGACAAGCAGCAGGGAGAGGGGGATGCACAGACAGGGGTGACAGAACAGACAGCGCAAATCAAGATGGAAAACCAGAAGGAGGTTGATCTTCCTGGTTTCCCAGGGAAAAGAGCAGGCACTAGACAAGGCTGCAGGGCAAGGATGGGGCCCCCTTTTCCCTTCCCAAAGGTCCCCAATTTCCAGGGTCCCTCAAACCCAGGAGATTGTTCCCTCATAGACTGAGGGAAGAAGAGTAGGGTATACAGGAGTGGGGATGGAAGGAACAGTTCTTGGGGTGAAAATCAGGGGAGGCTGAGTGGACTGGAGTGGATGGCTGCATCCTTCCACCCAACAGTGGTGTCCATGGGGCTGGGACTGGTAGGAATCCAGTGATTTGAGTCTTCAGGTAACTTTTACATCCATATGTCATTTAAGGGCTTAAATGGATGAGGCCAGGGTTTTCCAGCCCATTTTAAAGATGGGAAAATGGGATATAATTTTCTGGAAGGCCCAATGTAAGTCAGTGGTAGGGGGAGACAGAGGACACCTCCCACTCCCTGCTACAGACCTTCAGGGCAAGCGAAGACTCACCTGCGGGATCCAGCAGAGGCCCGTCTGCTCCCTGGCAGGGACATGGCCATGAGGCTGCGGGTCCGAGTTAGGGGCGGGATGGACGGTGTCCCCGGGGCTGAGGAAAGAGGGCGGGTTGGGGGGCCAGCAGGGAGTGCTGGGCCGGGCCACGTCATTCTCTCGCTGGGGCCACTGCCAGGCATAGCTTCTCCTCTCACCCTTCGGCAGAATACCCCAGCACCAGGCTCAGGCCACAGCCACCTCTACCAGTGAATTTAATGGGACTGGTGCACAGCCTCCCACCACCTGATTTAAAGTCACAATCAATCATCAAAGCCTCAGGGGCAGTGAGAAATCATCAATCCAACCCGGTGTCCTCCGGATGAGTGAATATGCCCCAGAGAGGGTGCAGGTCTTGCCAGAGATCACGAGGACAGCAGGAGCAGGGCCTCCTGTTCCCCAGCGCAGTTCCAAGTCTTCTACTCTGTGAGCCAGCCTGGTTCTCCCAGGTCCCTGACACTCAGACCCCTGCCTCCCTGCTGTTCAGTCCTCCCTCCTAGGCAGGGTCTGTAGGTTGGAAGGTTCCTGGGGCTGAATCAGGAACCCTAAATTAGGCCGGGCTGTTCTTGTCAACCATCACCTTCCCAGTTGGCTTGTGGTTCAGGACTTTCTGTCTATAGGGGAGACAAGACAGACCAACATACCAGCAACATGTAGAAAGACATATGGATATATATGAACACGAAATAGTACCATGTCCTGATATTCCAAAATGTGCAGCACCTGTTGCTGTGAACATGCCCACAATGCAGGACATGCAGCCAGTCCTCCCATGCTCATGCCTGGTCCCCCATGCAACACATCCCCATCTGTGCAAATGTACATGCTGACTTCCTCATATTCCAGGAACATGCAGATGAGGCTTAATGCGGGAGAGGGGTGGGGCTGACAGGAGCAGAAGTCCTCCCTACCTGCTACTGGGGATCCTAGTGGGTGGCCCAGTAGCAAGAGTCCATGCTGGGAGAAACTCTTGGTAAGTGGGTAGGTGGACACAGACCCAGTGGCTCTGGGTCAGGGCCTGAACTGCAAGGGTGGCTCTTAGGGGTATTGGAGGGAAAAGGCCTTATGCTGGACTGAATTGAGGCTGTGTGGAGAAGAGGGCACACAGGGCACCAGCACAAAGCTCCTTAGAGTCCAATGCTCAGGCTTGAGCTCTTTGCAGCCAGCGTGCTAGTCATGAGGCAGCTACAGATAACCACATTCCCTCCTTCCACATTTAGAGCAGGGACTGCGGACAGTAGGCTGGGTTACAGGAGACGGCTGAGGGTGTTGTGCTCTGGACTGTGCCCCCACCTCCATGCTGGGAGAGAAGCATTTACCCAGCCATACACCATGATAGAGCTCATGCCACTCATATTACGTACATTCTGCCACTGACTCCTCCTAATAATCCTATGAGGAAGTATTGTGATTAGTCCCCTTTTATAGATGAGGAATTAGAGCTACTGAGAGAAGGGACTTGCCCAGGTTGCTCCTGAGGTGTGCTAGTCTGACCAGCATCAAGAACTGAGGGGTTGGGGCCCAAACCCTGGAATCCCTGGCCCAGGACCACCCTTTTCCCACATCAGCACCTCCCAGGAGCCTGGTCTTTCTGGCTGGTGGCAGGGCTGCCTCCTGAGCAGACAAAGGCACTGCTCAGATGGCCTGTTTCCTGGCTGTGACACAGAACACGGCCTGTTCCCCACAGGGCTGGACACTGCCAGCATTGTCTTCCGAGAGGTGTTGGGTGCTGGGCTGCAGGAGCTGTTGGCACCACGCCCGTTACCTGAGCCTTCACCCGGCCTGGCATTACTTCCTACCTATCATGCCCCAGGTTCCTGAACAGAGCCAGTGGACATAGGGCTAGTCCCCAGAATAGGAACCACAGGGCAGGTTGGAGTACGAGCCAGCAGTGTCCCTCCAAATTTGCCCATAGCCACAAGTAGTTGAATCTTCCTGGCCACAGAAGAACCTGGAATAGGAGTTGGCAGGCATGATGGTCTTTCCTCATGAGGGGGCAGGAGCTTCAAGGATTATGTCACTGATTGATTCCTTTGTGCTCAGGTAACCCTACTGAGTGTTTTTATGTGCCTAAGCCCATTACTCTCAACAGGTTTTTCTATCTCATTGAGGTCTGGGATCAAAGGTCAGACTCTGGCTTCTAACCCACCCAGCCTGGCCCCACTGGCCATTCTATCCTCATTTCTTCCTCTCCTGGTTTTTGGGAGGCTGCAAGGAGGTGGTCAGGCCTCTAGGATGACTTGCTGGCCAAGACAGGACTCATATCTCAGGACAGGCCTCTCTTCATAGAGCCAGCTTGGTGTGTGTTGCTAGGAGCCAGGAAAGTGCAGGTAGAGATTTGGGATAGGTCCTAGGAGGCAGGCAAGATGCCAGCCTTGGTTGGAGCTGTGTGTGGCCTTCGACAATGAAGCCTTTTTTCCCTCTGGCCCTGTTACTACCTTGCTTGGCAATCCCACGCATCCCCCTTCCTTCCTTCCTTCCTTCCTTCCTTCCTTCCTTCCTTCCTTCCTTCCTTCCTTCCTTCCTTCCTGGCTGAGCTGGGAAGAGAGTGGTTCTGTACCTGGATGCAGCTGACAATCTCCTGAGATCAACCAGAACCAGCCACTCTTTTGGGACAGAGGTGGAAGTAACATTTCCCCTGCTGGGACAGGACCTCACAGATAGGTCCCTCATGGGAGGGCAGAAGCCCCAAGGGAGCCACCAGGCCAGGGATCCTACTTCACAAGCCTCAGTGTGTACCCTGTGCCTTCTCAGGTCCTTTCTCTCCTCTAGGCCCCAGAGAGAAGGCAGGTTGCCATGGCATTTGTCACCATGCCACCTGCTCAGCCTAGAGTCCCACAGGCCTGTCCCCAGGTGGCCAGAGGCTGCCTCTTGGCATGGACAGTGGAAAGGAAACTCTAAGGCATGGGGAGTGGGGCTAACAGTCTCTCATTTCTTTTATTCGAGAAAGCCTGGCCCCTCTTCACTCTACCTCTCTCCATCTGATCTCACCTTTAGAAATCCCACTATATCCACCCTTTGACTGATCCCTCACATGCCCAGGGTTTCCTAATGGGGATCCAGGGAACAGGAAAAATAGGACCAAACAGATAATTGGCTCTAATAGCTCTGTCAGGCCTCTAGGCCTAGGTAGGATGCCTTGGGCAAGTCATGCTACTTCTCCAAGTTTTAGCATTCTCGTTATTTATTTATTTATTTATTTATTTATTTATTTATTGTCTTTTTCCTTTTTATCGGTACCAGGGATAGAACTCACGACTGCCTGCTTGCAAGGCAGGCGCTTATGCTGCTGAGCTAAATCCTCAGCCCCGCATTCTCGTCTTTAAGTGGGGTAGAATAAAATGCACCTGCTATGGTTACTGTGAGAATAATGTGAAATAATGCATTACAGGGTTTGGTTCAGTGGCTGCACACAAACAACACACAAGTTGGGAGCAGTCAGGATTCTGGAAGAAGATAATTGCAATGTGATATGAACTTCAAAACAGAAACATGTTCAGAGCATATCGGGAGCCTCAAAAGAGTGAGGAAAAGCTTCTCCTAGCCAGAAATTTGTGTTGGAATTTGAAGGATGAACACTGGCCAAAGAGAATTCAATAGCATAGCTGCTCAGAATCCAGAGTGGCTGGTGACAGCAGAGGCACAGTGGCAGTGAGGCTGCAGAAAGAGGTGGGGCCTTAACACAGGAGTTTGTCCTATGGGCAACAGAGAGCCATGGAAGTGTTTGTGTTTTGTTTTTTGATATTGGGGATTGAACCCAGGATTTCAACATTGAGTTGTATTTCCAGACCTTTAAAAAATGTTTTAGGGCTAGGGATTTAGCTTAGTGGCACAAGCCCCTGCCTAGCAAGTGCAAGGTCATGAGTTTGATCCTTGGAACCAAAAAACAGTTTTAATTTGGAGAGTGTGTTTCACTAAGTCACTAAATTCTTATGCTGGGCTCCAACTTGTGATCCTTGCAATCTCAGAGTGCTGGGATTACAGGTGTGAGCCACTATGCCTAGAAGTGTTTTTAAAAGGAAAAGGGCACAACTGGATTTATATTAGAAAAAGTCTCTGGGTGGGTAGTGGAGTATTCTGGGATGGGAGAAGCTAGAAGGAAGGGAACCAGTTAGGAAGTTACCAGAAACTCCCAGAGGAGGAGCTAGGAGGGCTTGGGACAGGACAGGAGCAGGAGCACTGCAGGAGGCCAGGATCCTGCTTGAAATTCATTAGAGGCTTCAAATTAAGGGAAAATTAGGGCAAAATGCTTGCTGCTGGTTCGCAAGTCCCTTGCATCTACATCCACCCAGACTCTCTCTGGTGACTCCTGAGAGAACCCTGTTCATCCTGTATGTATATCCAGTTGGCTCTGCCTTTAGCTTCTCCAATAGGGACCTTCACCAAAGCCTCTCATCTTGACCACTTACCAAGCTGTTCCTGGGCTAAACCTCAGGAGACTCTGCCAGGAATATTCATAGGAACACACATGATCAACACACAGCTGTCAGTCACACAGTGGTTGAAACACAGACACAAGATCAAGTAGTTAGATTAGATGGTCTCTATGGTGCTTTTGAATCTAACAGACTCCAACTTTAGGGCTACTCCCCAAATGGTGAACTTCCAGTTGATCCTTTCCACATCTTGAATTACCAGGGCTCCTGAGCATCAGTTTCCACATCTGTAAAATTAGAAATCTGTATTCTTTCAGAGCATTTGACTGCATCAACAAGGTGTGGAGGAAAAACCAAAAGCCCTGATTGACCCGACCTTACAGCTAAGAGGAAGTCCCTGTATACACTATCAATTTCTTCAAAGCAATATCCATCAATAAGAGAAGAAAACAACCCTAAAACCTCAGAAAACAAAACAGCTGCGTGTGATGATTCAAGTCACTGACAGCAGTGAAAAGCATTGCATTGCAGACAGTGCAAGATACTGAGAGGGATCCTCACTCGGCTAGGAAGACACTAGAAAATGGAACCTTCACCAGCCAAATGGCACAGTGCCAGCTGCTCCCAGAATGCTAATCAAAGAAAGGTGGGTACGGAAGAGGCCTTCCAGGGACAGCTCCAATTGCCATACTCAAAATCTCAGAGCTTTAGCGACACCAGGACAGCTCCTGGCTGAGCTCGTCAGATCTTCCATGGCCTCACCAGTTCCTTACTCTCTGCTCCACTCTATCTGCAGAGTCGAAGACCGTTCTTCCTAGACTTGGAAAGCAAGACAATAGGGGCAGTTCCCTAGCTCACTTCCTGTCTCCCATATGGCCACCATCAGGGCTGGTGCCATTCCTGTGCGAGTCCTTCTTTTTACTGTAGCAGGGCAGACCCACAACTCAGCCAGAGTGACAAGGGCTTCCTGAGATGATCAGGATGGGCTTGGGCACTGCGGCAGCTGTTACACAGGACATCACTGCAGGTGAAAGTGAGAATCCTAGGCAGTGGGCTGGGTCTTCAGGGGCCCTTAAGGGGCCTTGGCTCTGGGCTGCTGAGTGGAGCAGACTCAGTGCCCCTCTTCCATTCTTCCTGAAGAGCCTTCTCTTGTGATTATTCCACATGTGGGGTAAGACTATTTTAAAAAGAATTTTGGGGATGGGGATGTAGCGCAGTGGTAGAGTACTTATCCAGCATGCACAGGGTTCTGGATTCCTCTGCCAGCACATCCAAGAAAAATATATAGAGGGTACTGCAGGTTAAAATGTATGTGATAAGATTTTCTATAATAAGTTACACATCACACCCACTAGTATGCTTTAAGAAGATGAATGATAACAAGCACATGAAGTGGGGGACTGGAGCTCTAGTATATCACTGGTGGAGATGTAAAATGGTAAGGTTGCTGTAGAAAATGATTTGGCAGCTCTTTAGAAAGTTAAATACAGAATAACCATATGAACCAGCAAGTCCATTGCTAGATATATTCCCCAAAGAATGGAAAATAGGTGTTTAAAAACTCATACAGGAATGTTTTCAGCAGGACTATTCCAAATAACAAGTGTCCATCAATAGATGAATGAAGATACATGTGATGTATCAACACAATGGAATATTACTTTGCCAGAAAAAGAAATGAGATATTGATACATGCTACAATATTGATAAACCTTGAAAACATTCTGCTAAATGAAAGATAGATGCAAAAGAATATTACATGATTCCATTTATATGAAATATTCAGCATAAACAAATCTGTAGAGACACACAGCTTAGTGGTTGCCAAGAAGTAAGAGAAGAGAAAATAGAGAATGATTGCCAATGGACAGAGTTTCTTTTGGGGATGATGAAAATGTTTTGTAATTAGACAGTGGTATTGGTTATATAAATTTGTGAATATACTAAAAACCCCTAAATAGTATATTTAAAAAAAAATTTTTTTTTGAGACAGGGTCTCACTATGCAGTTTGGGCT